TAAAGAACTGCTGGAGGATGAGATCTTGAAAAGTAAATTAATAAAATGTAGACCATCAGGATCAGCTGAAGGATGAGATTGTAATGAGTAAGTTAACACTATTTATACCATCAGAACCAGCTAAAAGATGAGACTGTAAGGAATAAGACAGCATTATTTACACTATCAGGATTAGATGGAGGATAAAATCATAAGAAGTAGCTAACACTGTATAGTCAATAAAGATCCGTTGGAAAATGAGATAATAATGAATAAGTTAACACTGTATAAACCATCAGGACCAGCTAGAGGATGAAAGCGTAAGGACTAAGATAATACTGTTTGCTCCATCAGGATCCACTGGGTGATGATATTTTAAAGATTAAGTTAACACTGTTTAGATCATCAGGATAATATGGATGACGAGATCATAAGAAGTAAGTTAAAACTCTTTAAGACATCAGGATCAGCTGGAGGAAGAGATCAGATGTAGTAAGTTAACACCTCTTTAGTTCATAATAATCAGCGAGAGGATAATATCATAAAGACACAGTTTAGATCATCAGGATGAGTTTTTGGTGGAGATCATAAAAGTTAACATTATGTACACCATCAAAATTAGCTGGAGGAGGAGATAGTAAGGATATAATGTAGACAATCAGTATCAGTTCGGAGATGATATCCTAGCTAATGAATTAACACTGTTTAGAACATCAGGTTCAACTTCAGAATAAAATTGTAAGAAGCAAGTTAACACTGTAGACCATATGAAACTGATGATCCTATAAAGGACTTTTGAGTTTGCACTATTTAAAATAAGATTAAAATGTGGTTTGATACTGACAGAACGTATCAGAGTGCAAAAATTGTTGAAGCTTTGTATGATGTATCGAAAATTCTGAAATTAACTGTTAAAAACAAAAGAACATAAACAAATGACTAAAAGAAAAGACGTCATTAAAACTTAAAGTAAAAACCGGACATATAATCGTAAGAAACTAAACTAATTGACGAGATATATGTCAAGAAATTTAGGAGTATACACAAGAAATCTTGAAATAATGGTTGGAGCATTTTATTGTTGTTGTTTATGATGGTTTTTCGGTGAAGGACACACAATGGTCTACCTGCACTCTGTCCACTGCGGGAAACCGAACCTCGGATTTTATAGTTTTAGCTCTGGAGAATTACCAATGAAACACCAAGGGAGCCATTTAACAGAAAAACCGGTTTAAGCAACCGAACAATCATATCATAATGAAAATATTAAGGTATAACTCGAAGCCCTCAGTATAAATTTTTACCATCTTTAATTCATAAATGTATGAAATTATCAAACAAAAACTTAAAAATTAAATAAAAGTAGTAAGAAAAAACAGAAAAAGAGCAGTTAGGCGACAACAAATAATAGACAATGTCAAGAAGTAAATTAGAAACAGCTACAAACTGAAATAAATACAGAAAAATAACTTTATCGTGGAATGAAAATTTTAGGGTAGGAGATTCTGATTGAGGTACGTTTCAAAGGAATTTATAAAGAGGATAGAAGATGAAGCTCTGAGAGACTAATGGGAACAGCACTGAGTTGATTAAAAAGATCCACTATGAATGTTTTAAAGTCGAGAGGTAGACTATTAAATTGTTGGAAGTTTGTGTGTGTGTGTGTGTGTTTCATACAGCAAAGCCACATCGGGCTATCTGCTGTGTCCAACGAGGGGAATCAAACCCCTGATTTTAGCGTTGTAAATCCATAGACTGGGGACTTGTTGGAAGAAAGAAATATTAACGTAAGTAGACTTGCGAATATCTTGTGTGAAGCTAGAAAGTGTGATGTGAAGGAAACTTCAGATAAGAATGTACAACTTCACCATAATGTGTTAGTGGTATAATCTACTTCACTATAATGTGTTAGTGGTATAATCTACTTCAGTATGATGTGTTAGTGGTATAATCTACTTCACTATAATGTGTTAGTGGTATAATCTACTTCAGTATAATGTGTTTAGTGGTATAATCTACTTCAGTATAATGTGTTAGTGGTATAATCTACTTCAGTATAATGTTTTAGTGGTATAATCTACTTCAGTATAATGTGTTAGTGGTATAATCTACTTCAGTATAATGTTTTAGTGGTATAATCTACTTCAGTATAATGTTTTAGTGGTATAATCTGTCAAAACAGTCGCGTTAGAGTGTTACAGAAATTTATTACAAATATGTACTTCATAACTTTAATGAATTTTATAGAATTCTATAATTTGTATATTTTATATTATACAATTACATTACCGTCAGCGGTAACTTTGAGAGTTTATATCACTAAAACTCAGGATTCGAGAGTCATAGTGGACAGAACGCAAATAACCAATTGTGAAGCTTTGTGCTTCAAAACAAAGATAAAAGCGAACAGTTATATTACTTTGATATAGTTATATATTTAATATTTCTTTGAATATTTTATAACAATTCTTTAATTTGCATGGTCTTGCTATATTCGCACTTCGCTTTCCATTCTTATGTTCATCGACTTTACTTAGCTTGTACTTATTCCGATCAAGAATTGACTCATTCCAATGTACACAAAACAAATTACTGTTTATTACTGGTAATAAATAACACATAGATTTAGAATAGGCTTTACTTCTTACTGGCAACATATTACTTTCTTTCTTTGCCTCTTTCTCTTTTCCCTATCTTCTCTTTTTGCCGTTGATCTCCTGTCTTATATTTTCCTTTCTCGAAGCCATGTCGAACTGTTTCCTTTCTTTTTTACTTTGCACCTGTTTCTCTTAAATCGAATTATAACGTTTGATGACCATAGGAGGTCTTGTAGTTTCCATGTCAGCTGAACTTAAAAAGGCGGTTTCAACTCTCAAAGTTTTTAGCGGAACATTGATAATTTCAGTGTCTTTTAATATGTCACATTACAATTCATAGTCTTCGTCTAGATATTTTATAAACTTTATAGTGTCTTTTAATATGTCACATTACAATTCATAGTCTTCGTCTAGATATTTTATAAACTTTATAGTGTCTTTTAATATGTCACATTACAATTCATAGTCTTCGTCTAGATATTTTATAAACTTTATAGTGTCTTTTTATATATATATCACATTACAATTTATAGTCTTCGTCTAGATATTTTCATAAACTTTACAGTATCTTTATATATATCACATTACAATTTATAGTCTTCGTCTAGATATTTTATAAACTTTACAGTGTCTTTATATATATATCACATTACAATTTATAGTCTTCGTCTAGATATTTTATAAACTTTACAGTATCTTTATATATATCACCTTACAATTTATAGTCTTCGTCTAGATATTTTCATAAACTTTACAGTGTCTTTATATATATATCACATTACAATTTATAGTCTTCGTCTAGATATTTTCATAAACTTTACAGTGTCTTTATATATATCACATTACAATTCATAGTCTTCGTCTAGATATTTTATAAACTTTACAGTATCTTTATATATATCACATTACAATTTATAGCCTTTGTGTAGATATTTTTATAAACTTTACAGTATCTTTATATATATATCACATTACAATTTATAGTTTCGTCTAGATATTTTCATAAACTTTATAGTGTCTTTATATATATCACATTACAATTTATAGTATCGTCTAGATATTTTTATAAACTTTACAGTGTCTTTATATATATCACATTACAATTTATAGTTTCGTCTAGATATTTTATAAACTTTACAGTGTATTTTAATATATCACACTACAATTCACAGTTTAGATATTTTATAAACTTTACAGTGTCTTGCGTTCTTGACTTCTCTCTTTCTTCTGAGTAGCTTTAGCTTTTAACTTCTGCTCTTTGCCACAAGCTGGTCGCACATGCTAACATGTTTCGTGACTCAGTTTTGTCTCAGGACCAACTGATGTTTAGTTAGTCAAATGGACCCTTAAAATCTCTACTATGAGAAGGGAAATCATATTGTAGCTTAGGGAACTTCTTGAAATGCAAATAGCACAAGAAGCAATCTCATCTCCCAGTTAAGAGGATTTTCTTGTACCAATCCTCCTAGTGTGGTCTTTATTGCCCATTTGGTTGGGGGTCTATAAGATCTATTGCGTTTCATTTTCATTCCTGTTGCTTTCCATAATCCTTGCATTGTTTTTAATTGATAATTGCTCCCTAAATATGAATCTAGTGTTACTGCTTCTGCATATGTAGTAGCAGAATTAACTGTCAGGATATCTTTAATCTCTTGCTCTGTTACTTGAACTAATAACTGATGAATTAACCATTGGAATTTTAATGTTCATTTCCCTCTTATCACTTAGACAGCATTCTGGAGAGCATTTTACATAAGTCTATACCTCTCCAAACATACCTGGCTAGTAGTTGCTTTTACTGGTTCTATTTGTAATGTTAGCTACACCTACATATCATGCCCTAACTCTAATGCTGTCTCTACATTTCATTGGGAATAATACATGACCCCTACAACCTATTTCATCATTTCTATTACATTTACGTCTCAGCACTCCTTCCCGCTAGTAATAATTATTTCGTCCATATTGGATTACTTCTATTTACTCAACTTGGTTTCACTGTGGCATTTATCCAAACTTTCATATTCTATCTGCCATTTAATTTTATGTCTTGGTCGATATTTCCTATTCTAACAGCAGTTAAAAGTTCGTCATTATTTGTATTATCCACTTGATGATTTATTTTTCACTAACTCATACCCTTGTTTCAAAGTTTTCTATAATCCAGTTTGTTATCTAGCTACTTTGGATACATGTTGCCATTGCTACTGATGCATTTTGCAACTTGACAGCTTCTAACTTATTACAAAAGAAAACCAAATGTAGAATACTATCTGCCACCCTTACGACTATTTATTTCACTTTCAAAATCTCAACATTTTGTGCCTAACATGAAGAAAATTTTATTCAATAAACAATGCAGATTTTTTTTTCAACAAAAAAATTGATAATAATTTAGATGAATATAAAACTTGATTTTTTTAGGTTCAAGCGTAACTTAGTCGTAAGCCTACCTGGACTGCGAATACGAGGATTTCTGGTTTGAGTCACGTTGCCACAATAAACTGACTCTGCTCTTTGGGGCCATAGGTACATTATAAGATTTAAGGTCAAATCCCAATGTTCAGTCAAACAAGAGCAGCTCAAGAGTTGATGGTGAATGCTACTAACTACTATTTTCTCTGTAGTTTATCATTTCAAAGTTAGGAACGACTATCTGTATAGCTTTACGCAACACTTCTAAATAAAATAACAATAATTTCTTCTTTAATTAGGGTTTCTACCTGTATCTCTACTTCGGAAGTATATTATTCCTCTTCTATGTCTACGTGTTTTTGTTACGTCGAGAAAGTACAGATGAAAACATCAGTTCTGTTCGAGCTCCATCGTTCTTCCAACGTTGCATCAGAAACCTTGTCCCATTTTACCGCAATACTGGTTTTAGTATTGGCAGCAGCAGCAACAACAATCACAAGAAGAAAGTGAGTGATGGTCCTCACTGCGGAAGTTTTTATCTCCGGCTTGGGGCAGTAGGTATGTGAATGTCACACATAGAAAGTAAGTCTGCTCAATGTACCTACTGTATTGTGGTCATGGACTTGTTCCGAAAAGCTTCTTTGCAATACGGTACTATTCAAAATAATCTTTAAAGGCCAAACCTATCATAACAATTAGATGTTATTAGTTTAAAATATTAAAAACATAAGTTTTGTTATTAAAATCATTTGAACCAAAAATTGACACAATCAATGACTACTGCATTAGAAAGTTCTGTTAAGAAAATATAATCTATTGATTATTGTCTCTCCTCAAAATTTCATTTATTACACACACTTCTCATTTCGTTTATTACACACACACTTCTCATTTCATTTATTACACACACACTTCTCATTTCATTTATTACACACACTTCTCATTTCATTTATTACACACACATTTTTCATTTCATTTATTACACACACACTTCTCATTTCATTTATTACACACACACTTTTCATTTCATTTATTACACACACACACTTCTCATTTCATTTATTACACACACACTCTCATTTCGAACCGCAGTAAACAAATTAAGAGGAATGTGGAAAACAACATCTACGGTTAACGTGTTTTTATAACAGTCTTTATTATGGTACACAATTGGAAGTCTCTTAAAACAAACTTTTGGTAAGTGTCGAAAAAAATTAGTTTTTTTTAATTTAGTTGAGTGATAAATATTTACTGTACAGAATACACCCCTTTGCTTTGTTGTGCATGGGGATGTTTTCTATATATATATATATATATATATAA